ATTATTAAAAATCAGTTTATAATAAAATATCAAAAACCTTGTTACGCTTTATTGAAATTGTGATAAGATTTATCCTTCTCTGTAACTAGTACAAAAAAAAAGTAAATGTATTCACAATTTCAACAGAGCGCAAACTATTTATTACTAAAAAGAGACTGTTTTCTAAAAAATTTTTTGCTGAAGTGTAAAAAAATGTGACCCGTTTGCCGGAAAACGGAACAATAAAGCTAAATTGCACATCGTCATAATTTTATTAGACATCAAACTTTTATAAAGATCTCGATGTTCATTGGTACTTAAGTTGCAGGTTTGCGGTTTAGAGGCAATAAACCGAAATGCTTATTGAACTAGAAAAAATTCTCCCAACTAAAACTTATTTAGCACTTTTTTCAGCCATTTTTTCACCCATATCTGGTTGTTTTCGACATAATATCATTTTTATGTATCCGGATAGATTTACATGTTTATGACAGCAGCAGGTATCTGAATGTATTTGGTAAAATATTTCATACAAATCGATTGAATAGATTTTGTCGTGTCAAAATAGTCGACGATAAATTACGAGTGTTATTCCTCCACACGGTGTAATAATGAGTTATTCTTTTATGATTATTAAACCGTAGTAAAAATGTTTTTTTAACATCGCGTAAAAATCCGTTTATGTTGTGCCAACTCGGGCTTTTATCTTTTTAACAGTCACACTGGAATGGCCACCATCAAGAATTTTGAAAGCTTGGCATTTCGCCGTGTTATAAAAATAAAAACTGTTTAAATATTACCAGCGACAATAGAAGTACATTTAGTTTTATTGCATAATTTATTCCGATTTTTGAAAGAAATGCTTGAATAAAATATAAACCGTCCATCTCCTAATTTAGAAAGTGTCGATAAAACTCTGATATTTCTCATATTTTCGAAAACCGCTCAATAAATTATGCATCAGACGTAAACTTTGCTTCACTTAACCAAATCACAAATCAAAATTAACATAACAATGCTTGCTATAATTCCCCTAGTTGAATAAATTAAAACCAATTTGATACAAAGCAAATTTACCATCGAACTGTTTACAGCACCGCTGATTACCATTTCAATAATTTCTTCGCCTGAAACTGAAACTAGAATTCCCTCTTTTACGACTCGTCTGATTTATTATTTAACCACTGCGGCAGATTTTATATTTTTAACAAGACACGTTAACACACCTGAAACTCGTAACAAAAGTTTCAAGATGATGCTACAAAACGCTGAAAAAATACAAAGTTTGCGTGTTCTGAAATAATTGCTCTATTTATTATTACCATTTTTATTGGAAAAGCATTACAGGAGAATTATCACCGTCAGGTGTGCCTAAGTAACTAGCACCGAATATTTTATTTCTGAATTTTGTGCTGAAAAATTCCAATTAATTCCCAACAAAATAAAAACCTCCCGTCTACGTGATAAATTCCCCAATTAATTTTTCAGCTGTAACGACTGTTTCCAATGGATTACTCTGATTAAAATAATGATTAGATTCAAAGTAATGAATCCAAACAATCTATCTCCAATAATCTCAAGTTTTTGCTGGATTAACAGATGAATCGATTAGATAAGACAAACCAACTGCTTTTTTACACGTCGCGAGCTCAACTTCCACTTCTAGCAAAATGTAAAGCTGGAATTGCTTAATCCTCTTCTCAATATCGAAATTATAATAGAGTTTGAGATAAAAAAGAGCAATTTTGCAAATGTTAATTAAGACACTCAGTTCTATAAACTTTTAAACAGTTTAGCGTTATCAAAAAAAAAGGTTGGTTTCATTTTATTTGTTATACTTACCAAAAATTTAAAAAAAGTCTATTATTGACCTTTAAATGGTAAAATTAAAAGAAGATTATATAAGACATTGATGGATACTAATCTAGTCCATCGCCTAAAATTATTTTCAACTATAGAGCGTGTCTCAAAAATAATAATACAAACTTTTTAAATAAAACACTATATGTTTGGATGTAGATTTTTATGACAATGTTTTAAAGTTAAACTTTTATAGGTCGTTTTTGCTTAGTTTTTTGACGAAAACATGCACTTTTTAAAAATGTATTACACAAAAACTAATCTAGAAATATTTTTTAACTACCACAAAGAAGAAGATACAAGCTATAGGGTTGTAACATTTTTTTAGTGTGTTGCAATTGCAGATAAAAAAAATAAAGGCGTTTGTTAAAAATTCAATAAATTCAAACATTTGAATGGAACACCCTATTTATTGTTTTTGCATTTAAAAGATTATTAAATTGTCTTTCTAAAATTACTTACTTTTAGGTGTTTATAATCAATAATTAAAAAGATATGTAACGTTAAACATAAAAAAATAATTACTATTGTTTCACAAGAAATGGAAGAAATATTACTTAATAATTACATTTGTGTTAAACTGAATCCATTATTCTTTACTTTTACAATAAAATAATTTCAGTATAATTTACGACCGTTTATTATCGAATTTTCATCGTTTTGATTGATTTTCATTTCATGACAATTAATGTCAAATTAAGAAATCAGCAACTAAATTGGAACATCAAATTTTTATTTTAAAAACATTTAGGAAGAGAAAACATTGTATTATACACGTGGAGAAAAGTTGTCATTATTTATGCTCGTCATTCTTTCTGAAACGCGTGCGTAGCACATCACTCACAGATAATGAACAACTTTTCTTTACTTGTGTAATAAACTACACTACTCCAAAAAATTAAAGGAAAAAAAAATTTCCTAAATTTTTTGGTGCTTTTTGAAAAGCTGTAACTCATCGAAAAATGGTCGTATCTAGATTAAAAAAAAAACATTTTGAAGCTTTGAGTTTCTAGTTTTGAGGTCTTTTGGCAAATATTTTTTCTGTGCAACGGTTATCACGCAATTCTAAGTAATAGCGAAAAAAATAATCTAAATTTGTATGTTTCTGTTTTTGGTCCACGAACGTGGAGAATTTTTTTTAGTTAAGACAATGCATAAACCGGATAGCATGTTTGTTCACCTTTAATATGCTTTTTTCATATTCTCTTTACGTTAATTTGTCGCTGAGATATCTGACTTTAAATGAAAAAGGATCCTCTTGTCTTTGATCAAAAACTGGAATAAATACTTTATAAGATCCTCTTATGATTTTTTGGAAAATATTTTTTTTCACCTCTAACATTGGTTTAAAGAAAAGAGCAACAATTGTGCATATGGTTTCTAAACATCGTCTAATATTCGCCAATATGAGAAAAACAATTTTTTCAGCTTTCTTTTACAATTTTGCATTAGTTAAATTCGAAAAAATTTTTTTTTTAATTTTGTTTTTTTTTTTTTCAAAAATTAATCAGTATTGTT